AAATACTGCAACAATAGTTTGGAAGAGTTGGATTTATCTTACAACGACTTTGATGGGCAGATACCTCCATCTTTGGGAAATCTTAAGAACATGAAATATCTTTTCCTTCATCAGAATTCTTTTTCAGGTCCATTTCCAGTTTCTATTGGAAACCTATCATCCTTGAAGGGATTATCCATTTTTTCCAACAAATTTAATGGAACAATTCCTGAAAATATTGGACAACTGAAAGACTTGACTTATTTATATCTTGATGATAATAACTTGGGAGGGGTTGTATCAACGTTTCATTTTCTGCACCTAAAAAATTTGAAATATTTCTGGTTATCTTCTAATGTTGGAGAAAATTCACTGATATTCGATGTGGGAGATAACTGGATTCCTCCTTTCAGCTTAAAAGTTATTTCCATTGTAAATTGCAAGATGGATCTCAAATTTCCAGTATGGCTCCGAACTCAAAAGGAGCTGTGCTATATTCATCTCATCAAGGTTGGAATTTCAAATCTCTTACCTGATTGGTTTTGGAAATTGACTCCACAAATTGAAGATTTATCTCTTCGCAACAACAAACTAGGAGGAAATCTTCCACAATCATTAATTTTTGCTCCAAATTCATACATAGACCTCAGTTTGAATTTATTTGAGGGACCGATTCCATCCTTTTCTGGTGTCATTGGTCTTTGTTTGAGGCAAAACTTACTATCAGGATCCATTCCAACAAATTTTAAGTTGGAATTGTTTTATTTGGATCTTTCTGAGAACCACCTCAACGGTAGCATTCCTTGTTCAATAAATAAGTTGGAGAACTTGGAATTATTATCTCTAGAAAAGAATCAACTTTCTGGAGAGATCCCTTCATGGAAGACATTGAGGCGGTTGGGGTGGTTAGATCTTTCCAACAACAATTTATCTGGCACCATTCCAACTTCATTGTGCTCCCAATCTCAGCCTTTTTATGTGAAATTAAATAACAACAATCTTCATGGAAAGCTTTCATCATTGCGTAATTGCACAAGCTTGGTGGAACTGAGTGTTGCAAACAATCAATTCTCTGGAAGCATTCCAAGATGGATTGTAGAAACTTTACCTTGGCTACAAATACTACAGTTGCGAGGAAACATGTTTAGAGGAAAGATACCCACAAATTTTTGTCTTCTTTCTAAACTCCATGTATTAGACCTACGGCTAAATACTTTATTAGGGTTGATTCCACCATGTCTTGGCAATTTAAGCAGCTTACATCGCTTGGTGAATCACTCTTCTGATCGTTACTGTGATGGATACGGTTTCATTTTGTATCACTATTGGGATGATCATGATATGGAATTCTATGTTAAAGGAAAATGGCTTGATTTTACCCACATTCTTGATCTTCTGAATTTAATAGACTTGTCAAGTAATAATCTTGAAGGAGATATCCCAGAGGAGATAATGAAGCTTTCTGCCTTAGGTACCTTGAACTTATCCCATAATAGGTTGACA